GAAGGGACTCCTGTCTCCTCTGGTGCCAGGACCCACCCATCCTCTGGCAGACCAACCCTGGCTGCTTCCTGGCTGTGTCTCTAGCCGCATGTGAGACCTCACAGACGAGCGAAGCACTTGCTGTACCAGTATCTCAGGCCGGGAGGCCAGCCGTTCCTTTTCAGCCAGCTAATCTGAGACCCAGATAACTCACCCAAAGTCTCGGGACTTCTTTGTACGGGCGGCCTTTCTGCCACCTCCCGCCCCCAGCTGGACCTCACTACTTCAGCGTCTCGTCCTCTCCCCTGCATCTCCTGTTTGTCTCCAAGTGCTTTGAATTTGTCCCAACCCAAGTTGCTCTTCTGGTGTCTGATGTAGACCTTGGGAGTGGGGTGGTCAGGGGCCATCCGGAAGAGAGAGAGCTGGAGAGCCCCCTCTCAGGGTCCCCTGAGGGCTCCCGGCCCCAGCCCCCTCCCAGGCTGGCCTCTGTGGGGCTCGGGAGTGGCCTAGGCCGCTCACACCTCTTCCGCTTTCCCTCCCATGGTCTCTACTTCTCCTTTCTGGGGGCCTGGCGCAGGTCTCCAACTGGGGGGGGTCCTTTGGGGAGAACTGGGGGAGGTCAGCCCCAGGCCGGGCTGGCTGGTCAGTCCTGTGACTCGTGGGCCTGGAGAATTCCCCCTCCACTCCCCGCCAGGCTTCCTCACAAGGCCCCCATTGTCCAGGAAAATCACGCCATTGTTTCCTGCCTGCGCCCCCCCAGTCCAGGGACTCCCCCGCCCCAATCCCGCAGACAGTACCTCAGGCCTAGGACTGGGGTCTGCAAGGTGGGAGGCCAGGCTAGGGAGGCTGAGGGCACCCCGCCTGCCCTTAACCACCACCCAGACTCTGGGAGAGAAGCAGGGGGACTGGAGGGGAGTGGGGGTGCAATCCCTGGCTCCTTCCTCTCCCACAAGCCCCCCACCCCCAGCTCTTTCCTCCCCTGTAGGCAGCTGGACTGGGGAGGGAGCAGAGGCTGGAGCAGGGGCAGGAAGCTGGCTCAGGGGCAGCAGGAAACGCAGGAAGCGGTGGGGAGGGTGGGGAGCAGGGGCCTGGGCTATTGTTCCATTTTTTCTGGAAAGAAAACTGGAGGAAAAACAGAAGATGGAGTCCCCTCCCCCTGGGGCCTTCGGGGAATCCCCCTCAGGCTGGGCAGGGAGTGGGGGGTCCTAGATGGCTAGAACCCAGAAGTGAGGCTGAGAGGTGGAAACTGCCCCCTGCTACAGATGACAGGAGGGGGTGGGTGGCTGGCAGACATCCCCTGGCCCCCTTTGGCCCTGGCCAGGACTTGGATATCACCGGGTCCTGGCGTTCTCCCTCCAGGTCCCTTGTCCATGGTCAGCCCAGCCCAGGAGGCTCAAAATATACATCTCCCCCCTGCAAGAGCCGCCCATGCCTCTCCAGCAATCCCACTGGCCCCTCCTGCGCTTCCTTTTGCTCTGTAGCCTACACCCGGGGCTCCCCAGGCCCAGCCTGTGTCCCCCCACTACTGTGCTGGGTACTGCCTCCTGGCCTTTGCTCTTGTCAGGCCCTGCCGGACATCCAATTGGGTGCCTCCCTGAACGCTGGCTGCTTTTGGCCTGTGTGAAGCTTGTCTGCTGGAGGAAGCGCTCTGAACTTGTCCCTCCTTGTTTTGGGTCCCTGCTGAGCAGTGCGCAATCCCAAATGGCTGAGGATGGAGGCCTCGTCCCACCACACCCACCCCAAGGGCTGATTCCAGGCGAGGCCCCGTTGGTGAGCCAATCCCCAAATATCCACTCACGACTGAGGACCTACTGTGTGCTGGCATCAGACACCAGGGCTTGCCAAGACTGTTAAGCCATTTTCCCCGCCCCGTTACTCCCTTTTTACAGAGTCTGAAATTGAGGCTCTGAGTTGAAATAACCACCTAGAGGTCATGCAGCCAGGGGGAGGGGGAGGGGGAGGGCCAGAATTCCAGCCCATGACCACCAGGCTTTCCCCTCGGAGATCTCTGTTCGGGAGTACCTGCCCATCACAAGAGGAGGGGAGAGGAGAGAGCCAACAGCACAGGTGAGAATTTTAGGGGACAGGAAGGTGAGTGCCAGCATCCAGTGTTCTGCTACCTTGAGGTGGCCATCCTTAGGCAGGATCCTGAGGGCCCACCTGAGCGATCCCAATTTTTTAGCTTCTGTAAGCTGGGGCCAAGAACTTCTGCGCTGGGGCATGAAAGACGCCGGTGCCTGGTACTCCTGCTCTGGGGGCAGTGGGCATCCCAGTCAACTGGGACTCCCCTTGGGCAAGAGATCCTGCCTCTAGTGCCACAGAGGCCATACTGGGAGAGGGCTGGGAGCCAGTACCTCTCAGAGGCCAGGTAGCCCCAGGCGGGTTCAGCTGAGAGTTGGCAGTATGTGTGTGCTTGGCCACGCCACCCTCCAACCCTGCTCCCCAAACTCACTGTTGTTGGACTTGAGGTCTCGGTGGATGACGGGCACCAGGGCCTCGCAATGCAGGTAGTGCATCCCACGGGCGATCTGCACAGCCCAGTTGACCAGCACGTGGGGGGGTACACGCCGCCCAGCCAGGGCACGGCTGAGGGGACCACCAGCTGCGTACTCCATCACCAGGCACAGGTTGGGCTCCTCCAGGCACACCGCCTTGAGGGCGATGATGTTGGGGTGTGCCAGCATGGCGAAAAGCCGGGCCTCCTGGCGCACGCTCTCAGCCGTCACACTGATGTCCTCGTCGGGGTCCTGTCGAGCTGCCTTCACAGCCACCAGCTCACCTCGCCAGCTCCCACGGTAGACCTTGCCGAAGCCACCAATGCCGATCACCTCCTCTAGCCGCAGCTCCTGGAAGTTGGCCACCTCGCAGGGGGGCGGGCCGCCCCGAGACACATAGTTGGACGGAAAGATGCCTACCTGGCCGCCTACCTGGCCCGCCCACCAGCCCTCGTCGCCGGAGATAGCTGCATCCCGGGACAGCACCTCCACTCGGTCCCCCTTCCGCAGGGCCAGCTCGTCCTGCCCGTTGGGCTCGTAGTCAAACAAGGCTGTCCACACAGGGTTGGCATAAGCCGCTGCTTTCGGGGACCCCTCTGGCCAGCTTCCGCCGCTGCCACCGCCGCCCCCACTGCCACCGCCGTTCCATGAACCCAGCGGGCTCTTGAGGAAGAGGTTCTTCAAGGGCTCCATGGCCTGGAGCGGGCGTTGGGGCGGGTGGGGGACCGTCCCTGGGTGCCCCGGGTCTCCACCCCTGCTGGCTGCGGAGGCCCTAGTCCCGGAACCCGGGCATGCGGGCCCTGGCCCTCAGCCCCAGACCCACGCCTCTCTGGGGAGCCAGGAGTGTCGCCTCCTGGCCCGCCGCATCTCGGGCTTTCCGAGGAGGGCCAGCCAGGCCAGTGTGGTCAGGCTCGGGGGGTGGGACCCCGGGGTCTCTGGCGTCTCACCATGGCCAGCTCAGAAGGGCCTGGCGTCCCTCCGCAGTCCCGGGAGCCTGGCTCCAGCACCCGCCAAGTGTAAGGTGGAGCCGGCCAGGGGCAGCGCCCGGGCTCCGGTTGGGTCTTTTCGCGCAGGGGTGGCTGGAGCGTCCCTAGTTGGGCCGAGCTGCCCCTTCCTGGCCCAGCTCCCTCGGCCCGATGGCTCCAACCCCCGTTCCCTTCTTCCTCCTCCCTTTGTACTTTGGCCCCGGGGGCGGGAGGCAGAGGTGGAGGGTGGAGTTTCACTTTTTTCCGCTCTTCTCCCTCCTGCAGGAAACAGCATCAGATGACGCGAGCGGGTAGCACCGCTCCCGAACCGGAGGCTGCGGGAGACCAAGCAGGCGAGTTCCCGGTCGCGGTGCAGAAGACAGAAGGAGGGCAGGGCAGCCCCGGCCCCCGCCGAGGTTGTCTCTGATCGGATGGGCCACCCCCGCCCCCTGCATCAGCGTCAGTTAAGATCCTGGCTTGGAAGTGGCGTAAACCCGAGTCTGGTCTCGGCTCCCAAGTTGTGACCCATCCTCTCCGCGCCTCATTCTCACATCTGAAATGGGGACCAGCTTTGCAGAGCTGGTGGGGCGGGGGTGGGGGAGATTGGAGGAGGACAGAACTGGCTGCACCTCAAATTCTTGCAGCGGGTTGTCTAAGGCGCTCCTTTTCCCCTCACCAGCGAAGCATTCGCTTCTTCGTGCCTCTTCCCAAGTAGGCAGAAACCCGAGACCTGTCCTGAACTTAGCCAGCGATTGGAGTCAGAATAGTTAAGTCGCCCTCAGCCACAGTGTTGACCCCAATTGCCTTGAGCCTGTCACTTTAAGAAAAACGACGCTATCCTGTTTCGACTATTCCCGCCTGTTCTGGAGTGTCGCTCTCTGCACTCCAAATCTGAGCTCTGACCCGGAAGTAGAGGCAGCTCCAGTCCCCAGACGCTCGTGACGTTTGCGGTCCAGCACCAAAAGGGGCTGACCTAGAGGGAGGTGCTCCAGTGGAGCTGAAATATCGCCGTAGCCCTGGAGAGTCCACGCCTCCATCCTTTTCCCCCCCACCTTCATAGGAAGGCCTTTTAAAAAATATATATATTTCTTTATTGATTTCAGAGAGGAAGGGGGAGGGAAAGAGAAACAACGATGAGAATCATTGATCGGCTGCCTCCAGCACGTCCCCTACTGGGATCGAGCCTGCAACCCAGGCAGGTGCCCTTGGCCGGAATGGAACCTGGGACCCTTCGATCCGCAGGCCAACGCTCTATCCACTAAACCAAACCAGCTAAGGAATTGGAAGAGCTTTGCGCCAATTAACAGGTCCTGCGCCGGGGGCAGGGGTCTCGCCGGTGATTGGTTCTTTGACCCGCACCAAAGCACCTTTAGTTCCGCCCAGTGGTGGTTTTCGCTTGGTTGGCAACGCCTAGGTGTGCGCATGCGCCCACGCGCTTCTACCCTTTGGATTCTCCTCCCTTAGACTTGGACTCTGCGCACGCCCAAAAGGCTCCCGGCTTCTCAGCGCCCCAACGCCTTCTCGCGCTTGCGCATTCATGCCGTCAGGTTTTCCTTTTCCGGGTCCCAACTGGGCCTGTCGGGCGCATGCGCCATTGCAGGCTGGCGGCTCGCGGCACCTTCTTCCGGCCTCCCCCTTGGGCCGGCGCCTGCAGGAGCGGGGCGAGTGTGGATCCCGAAGCGAGTGACCTGTGACCCCGGAAGTGGACCTCAGGGTCCCGGGGCTCTCCCGGACCGGAGCCGGGGAGCCGTCGTCTGCATCCCCGGAGCACCCATCCCACGCCCACCTCTGGATGCCGCCGACGGGTGCCCGGCCCGTGCCCCGCGCCCGCTCGCCGGTTCGGCCCCTCGGAGCAGTTCTGGGTCGGGGGTGGGGGCCCAGACCCCGCCCCTGATGCGGCTCCACCGCCGCGCCCTGGTCTGGCTCCGCTGACTGCCCCGGCCGGCCCCGCCCCCTGCCCGCAACCTCGCCCCGCGGACCCCTCTTCCCTGCCGGGGGAGGCCATGGCGTGAGCGCGGCCAGCCCCGGGGCCTTCGGGCACCAGGCGGGGCATGGGCCGGGGGCCGCCCCCATGAGGGTCCCGGGAGGGGGGCGCGCGCAGCAGTGGCGGGGCCATGGGGTCGCAGGTGTTACAGATCCTGCGCCAGGGGGTGTGGGCCTCGCTCACCGGCGGTTGGTTCTTCGACCCGCACCAGAGCACCTTCTCCAACTGCTTCCACCTCTACGTCTGGATCTTCCTGCTTACCTTCCCCTTCCTGCTGTACATGGTGAGACACGGCCACCGCCTACCTGTAACTCCCGCCGGCGAAAGTGAAGGCAGATGTCACGGAGGGTTGGCAGCCCGGCAGGGATTCGGGACTGCGCCTTGGGTGCTGGGGTGCCGAGAGGGGAATCTCCGCAGAGTTTGGGGCGTGTGGAAAAGCAGTCACATTCTCCCTTTGCTGGGCTGGGTGACCTTGAGCACCTCGTGTAATTTCTTGAGTTAGGAGACAGGGCCCCTGGCGAGGCATTTTCACTAGTCTCACTGAGGGATGGCGAAGCCTCCGGCGCATGTGTGCGTCCTAGCGGTCCTGCGGTGCTAGGGCTGTTGAGGAGGGGCCTGACTTGCTCTTGCTGACATCTCCAGGTCCTGCCCCCCAGCTTGATGGTGGCTGGTGTGTACTGCCTTGTGGTGGCCGTCATCTTCACTACCATCAAGACTGTGAACTACCGGCTGCATGCCATGTTCGACCAGGGCGAGATTGTGGAGAAGCGCAACTCTACCATGGGGGAGCCGGAGGAGGAGCCTGCCCAGGGGGACAGCAATCTGCTCAGGTGGGCGGGGCGGGGCTCTGTTGGGGATTGAAGGCTTCTTGGTGCCTGGGCCTGAGCATTGGAGGACGGAGGAGGGGCCTAGGGAACATTGGCTCCATGAGTGGTCAGTACTGGTTCTGCGGCTGGCCCTGGAATTGTGAAGGAATGCTTGAGCAGTGAGAAGTGTTGGGGATGGCAGAGGAAGTACTATGTAAAGCGGGTAGGTTAGCTCACAGCTGATGCTCTTTTCCACTTTCAGGGACCCTGGAGTGGAGATGACAGTGTTTCGGAAAGTGAGTTCCACCCCCCCAGTTCGTTGTAGCTCCCAGCATTCCGTGTTTGGCTTCAACCAGGTCTCGGTGAGTGATCCCAGCCTTCAGCCTCTCCTACTCCTCTCCTGGGAGCCCTCCCCACCATGGGTAGGTCCTGGGCTTACTTCCTGTCCTGTCTGTTCCTTCACATCTTTTTCCATCTGCTCAGGAGTTGCTTCCCCGGATGGAGGACTCTGGGCCCCTCAGAGGTAGGTGGCTGCTGCTCAGGGCCGAAGGTGGTGGTGTGGAACGGGATGGCAGGCAGCTGCCCTGGGGTCCTGCTGATGCCTTTGGGGCCACGGTTGCAGACATCAAGGAGCTGGTGCGGGAGCAGGGCAGCAACAACGTGATCGTGACCTCAGCCGATCGAGAGATGCTAAAGTTAAGCTCACAGGAGAAACTGAGTGAGTGGGCCTAGTGTGGCGGGGACTTGGGGGAAGACTGTCTTGTCTTAGAGTCACCCCAGCTTTGCTTCCCTGGTGCTTTCTTTGTTCTGGATGGGGCCTCCTCAGGGTCCTACCCCAGCTGGGCTCTCAGAGAAAGCACAGGCCATAGATCCCTTAGCCACCTGTTCCTTTTGCAATCTGTCCTTCATTCACCTGCCTTCCTTTCTTTTGACAGTTGGAGACCTTCCCCAGACGCCCCTGGGGGCTGCCCCAGACCCCTCTCTCCCCAGCACGGACTCTTCGGAACGCTCTCCCCTGGCTGGAGATGGAGTCCCCTGGAGTGGGAGCAGTGTTGCTGACACTCCTATGAGTCCCCTACTGAAGGGGAGCCTCAGCCAGGAGCTGAGCAAGAGCTTCCTGACCCTGTCTCGGCCTGACCGGGCCCTGGTGAGGACCAGCAGTCGACGGGAACAACGCCGGGGAGTGGGTGGCTACCAGCCCCTGGACCGGCGGGGCTCAGGGGAGCCCCTGCCCCAGAAAGCTGGCTCCTCAGATTCCTGCTTTAGTGGCACCGACAGGGAGACATTGAGCAGCTTCAAGAGTGAGAAGACCAACTCAACCCACCTGGACAGCCCCCCTGGTGGGCAAGCCCCTGAGGGCAGCGACACAGACCCACCCTCTGAAGCGGAGCTGCCAGCCTCACCAGATGCTGGAGTCCCCTCAGATGACACACTGCGTTCTTTTGACACAGTCATCGGAGCAGGGACACCACCAGGCCCAGCTGAGCCGCTCCTGGTTGTGCGGCCCAAGGACTTGGCCCTGCTTCGGCCTAGCAAACGGCGGCCGCCCGTGCGAAGACACTCCCCACCTGGCCATGCCCCTCGGAGGCCCCTGCTGGAAGGTGGGGGCTTCTTTGAAGATGAAGACACCAGCGAGGGCAGTGAGCTGAGCCCGGCCTCCAGTCTCAGATCTCAGCGCCGCTATAGTACCGACAGCTCCTCTTCGTCCTGCTATTCCCCAGAGAGCTCCCGGGGCGCGGCCGGGGGTCCTCGGAAGCGACGGGCCCCTCATGGGGCTGAGGAAGGGACTGCTGTGCCCCCTAAGCGTCCCTATGGGACCCAGCGGACGCCTAGTACTGCCAGCGCCAAAACACATGCCCGTGTGCTGAGTATGGATGGGGCGGGGGGTGATGTCTTGAGGGCCCCCCTGGCTGGCTCCAAGGCTGAGCTGGAGGCCCAGGCAGGGGTGGAGCTGGCTGCTGGGGAGCCCACTGTGCTGTCTGCTGAGGCCCACCGGGGACCTGCTGCCAACCAACCTGGTTGGCGGGGGGAGCTGCAGGAGGAAGGTGCTGTGGGCGGAGGTGAGTGCCAGCTCCAGGGCTGGGCGGGGGGTGAGCTGGCTAGAGGCTTGGTTCGGGCAAGGGGCAGGCTGGAGTGGGCCTGGTCAGTCAGCTCAGCCTGTCTCAGGCAGCAGATGGACGTGAACTCAGCGCCTGAGTGACATTGTCTGCCAAATCCCTCAGGTAAGCAGGGCTCAGCCATGGGGAGACAGGCAGAGACCTCGGGCACCTTGCCCTCGGTGCTGCAGTTCGTACCGGAAACCTCTGCCCCTGAGGACTCTCAGCATCACATCCGTCATCCTGGGTCACCAGTGGGGCAGGCAGATCATACTGTCCTTACTCTCAGATGTGGAAACTGGCATGAGTTGGTGACCTCACTGGGCTCTGCAGCCAGGGCATGGTTGGACTAGGCCTGAACTTATCTCCAGGCAGGAGCGCCTGCCCCCCGCACCCCCCTCCAGCTCTCTCCAAGCCACTGTCACTTATGCTCGGGCTCTCTCTCTGGGCAGCAGCTGAGGAGACGGGAAAGCGGGACCACTCGAGCAACGTGAGGCGGACCCAGGCGATCCGGAGGCGCCACAACGCAGGCAGTAACCCCACTCCTCCAGCATCTGTCATGGGCTCGCCCCCCAGGTGAGCTCCTGCCACCGGTCGGAGGGCGGTGGGGCCAGGGGCCAGCTGGCTCTAGGTGGTGCTGACCCACGCTGACCCTCTCCAGCAGCCTGCACGAGGCTCAGCGGGGCCGGGCTTCCTCCCACTCCCGGGCCCTGACTCTGCCCTCTGCCCTGCACTTCGCTTCCTCGTTGCTGCTCACTCGGGCTGGCGCCAACGTGCACGAGGCCTGCACCTTTGATGACACCTCGGAGGGGGCTGTGCACTACTTTTACGATGAGAGCGGTGAGCCCCTCCCTGAGTCCTGAGAACCCCGTAGGCCCAGCCTCTGACTCCAGCCAGCCCAGTGCCCCCTCTTCTCCTGCTGGGGGTCTTCGTCAGCCCAGCAGCAGTGCTCGCCGTCAGGCACACCCTCCCTCTGGCCCTCTGGTGAGCGCCTTACCTGCATCGCCACCTGCAGCCCCTCTGGGGAGTGGATGGTCTCGTTATACCCGGTCTGCTGATGAGGAAACTGAGGCACAGCCTGAAGTCAGGCTAAGTCAGTGGTAGAATGGGATCCACACCCGGTGCCTGAGTGCAGGGCCCAGGCTTTTGACCAGAGGCCCTCCCTTCTCCTGCTCTTGTCCTCGGGGGCTGGGTGGAGGGACATAGCACAGAGTTTTCTCAAAGGCCTTGGTGCCCACGTGGCACAGAGTTTTCTCGAAGGCCTTGGTGCCCACGTGGGTCGGGCCTTGATGCTCCTGTCTGTGACATGTTGCCAAATGTCCCACACCCCTGCTCCAGGCGTGCGGCGTTCCTACACCTTCGGGCTGGCTGGAGGCGGCTACGAGAACCCCGTAGGGCAGCAGGGGGAGCAGGCAGCCAATGGGACCTGGTGAGTCTCCCCACTGAGCTCTCCTGGGCCCGTAGCTGGTGGGCGGCCCTTTCTGGGAAGTTTTCTCTCCAGGGCTGAACTGGAGGCCCAGGTGGGTGGTGGAGGTGGCTCTGCGTGTCTCCCCATTTCTCCGTTTACTGGGTTGGGGAAGGGGCAGTTCAGAACCTCTAGGTGGGGGCAGTGAAGGGCAGGCCTACAAGGATCTCTTGGGTCCCTGACTCCATGATACTTCTAAGCAGGAGGCTTCCAGGGTCTTCCAGGAACTCAGGGCCACCTGCCCCCTCTGGAACCCCCTATTCTGTTCTTTTTCTGATCTGAGCAGCCCCTCCAGTTATGGCCTGGTGTTGGCCTCAACCCCGCCCTGTGCCAATGGCCTTGACCCACATGGCTATGGTTTCCACAGGGACCGCCACTCACATTCCTCCAGCTTCCACTCGGCTGATGTCCCTGAGGTGGCTGGTGGCCTGAACCTGCTGCAGCCGAGGCCCGTGGTTCTGCAGGGCATGCAGGTGCGCCGAGTGCCCCTGGAGATCCCGGAGGTGAGGAGCTATCGGGATCGGGCGAGGACCTGTAGGAGGGGGCAATAGGTTGGGGGGACACCAAGTCCTCCCCCAGCTACCAGGAGGGACAGGCGGCTGAGTGAGGGCTCCAGGGCCCTTAAGGTGTCTGTTCTGGCCTTTGATGGCTGGCCCAGGGTGCCTGGATCTGAATGGTTCAGGGAGCTGCTTATTCAGCAAATGCAGCTGGAGTATCTTCTTCTTTTTTTTTTTTTTTTTTATATATTTTTACTGATTTCAGAGAGGAAAGGAGAGAGCGAGAGAGAGAGAGAGAAACACCAATGATGAGAGAGAATCATTGATTGGCTACCTCCTGCATGCCCCACACTGGGGATTGAGCCCACAACACAGGCATATGCCCCAACCAGGAATCGAACCATGACCTCCTGGTTCATAGGTTGATGCTCAACCACTGAGCCATGCCGGCTGGGCATGGAGTATTTTCTTAATCCTGGAGGGACCCATAGTCAGTGGAGATGACGGGTGTTAGCAGTGATACCCACAGAAGGGGCAGGTTAGCTTACTTACTAGACCAGTGGTCGGCAAACTGCCGCTCACGAGCCACATGCGGCTCTTTGGCCCCTTGAGTGTGGCTCTTCCACAAAATACCGACTTCTGGGCATGGGCTATGAAGTTTCAATCCCACTGTACATGTGCACCCGCATGTGGTATTTTGTGGAAGAGCCGCACTCAAGGGGCCAAAAAGCCACATGTGGCTCGCGAGCCGCAGTTTGCCGACCACTGTACTAGACGATAACTGCTGCTCCCTGCCGGGGCTCCTGCCATGTGCGATAGCTTGGGGACACTGCTCCTGCTTGTCGTCTCGGCAGTTACATGCTCTCTTCTACTCCTGAAAGTGTCCTGATTTGGACAATAATTTGCAGGGTCAGCCTAGTACTGGAAGTGCTAAGCACGCGTGGAACAGAGATTCAGAGTGTAAAGAGTAGTGATAAAAGGAGCATCTAGCACCCGGGGCCACAGGTAGACCATGGGCATCGCGCAGAAGCCCCAGGTGCCTCTACCTGATACACACATTCTCCTTAACTTGCATATGTGGTAGCAGCATTGTCCTTGCACAGCTGACAGTCAGCTCCAAAGGCGGCTGCACGTCTTTGTCTCTCCGTTACATCCCCGGGGCCCAGCACAGAGCCAGGCCCAAGGTTGGGCCCTATTAGTACTTGTTGAATGAAGAACACAAGAAGTCAAAGAGGTTTTAGCAGTGATGTTGGCACCAGGTCTGTCCGTGGCCAGTGTTCTGTGTGCGCCAGGGTGGGCTAGTCAGAGTGACCCCGATGGCTCAGCATTTACACTGAGTCCTGAAGGACAAGGTGAATGTCAGTGAGCCCAGGAAGAGGCAGGAGATGCTGCCCGAGTGGAGAAGACAGACAGATACAGGAGCTGGTCCCGGGCAGGCAGTGAGCCATGTCCAGGGAACCTGGAGCAATGAGGAGGCCCTCGCAATGGAGAGTCGGGGCAGGCCACGGGGCCGCTGGAAGGTGGGGACTTTCTGTGCTGGAGGAAATGGTCGACCAGTACAGTGTGCCCAGTGTGGGGTGGAGGGGTGATAGACCATGTAGAGGGCGAGGGGCTGATGGCCGCGGCTGTGGGGACTGCAGTTTGACCTGCTGGACCAGGACTCCCTGCACGAATCCCAGGAGCAGACACTGATGGAGGAGGCACCGCCCCGAGCCCAGCACAGCTATAAGTACTGGCTTTTTCCTGGCCACTGGACGTCTGTGCGCTACGAGCGTCTCGCCCTGCTGGCCCTGCTGGACCGGTGAGTGCCCGCCGTGTTAGCCCCAATCCCTTCCAGACCTTGTGAACATGTGGAGGCTATCATGGCATCAGAGAACCTGACTGCTGGGGTCACTGAGGGTGCCCCGAAGACGAGTCTGCAGTGGGGTTTCTTTAGGTTTCTCTGGGGCACAAAGGGATGGCTAAGAGGGTGATGCCCTCTCCCAAAGCTCTGCTCAAAGCAAACTGTTCCTGTTTAGCCTATTATTCTATTTGTTTTTGTGGTATGTTTGGGTAAATTGAGTCCTATTGCCTAAAAAAGCTGACAGGCTATTTGTCACCCCATTTCTCAGGGGAAACTGAGGCCCAGAAAGTCAGAGCAGTCAGCTGTCTTTTGTTGTCCGTGTGGACAATTTCGGCCTAGAACCCACGTCCTGGCTTCCTGTGTTCTGGGTTTCCCAAGGGGCTGTGACCAGTGTGCGTTGGGCTGCCCGTGTGCCTCGTGTGGCATGCCTGAGCTGGAGATGGGCAGGTCCCGCGAGTGGTGGCACTTGGAGCCCTCAGTCTCTAGAGGGGGCACAGATTGGGACACAGGGTGGCTTCCTGGAGCAGGTGCAACCTGGCCATGCCCCTGAAAGGTCATAGGTCAGAGGATGAGGACTGGCAATGGTCACAGGCCCAGACAGGGGCCTTTGTGGTCAGGTTCTCCCCCCCCGTTGCCCCATTAGTGGTGAGGAGGTTGTGTGACCTGACCCGCTGTCTCTCCAGGACTCGGGGGCTGCTGGAGAACATCCTTGGCGTCGGCCTGAGCAGCCTGGTCGCCTTCCTAGGCTACCTGTTGCTGCTCAAGGGCTTCTTCACCGACATCTGGGTCTTCCAGTTCTGCCTGGTCATCGCCTCCTGCCAGTATTCCCTGCTGAAGGTCAGGCCTGGCTCCTTTCCCCACCTCCTTCCCATGACCTGTCTTGAGGGAGGTGAGCTAGCTCGAAGGCAAGATGCCTAAATCCCCTGTAGCCAGCCCCCATCTTACAAATGGGAGAACCGGGGCTCAGTACAGTTTAGGGTCCTTCCCTGGTCACTCATAACAGCCCAGTGGTAGAACTCAGCAGCTCCTGGGGCCCCTGTCCCCCCGAGTGTGCTGGCTCTCGATGCAACGTAGCTCCCATCTCTTCCAGAGTGTCCAGCCTGATGCGGCATCTCCCATGCACGTGAGTCCTGGCGGAGCAGCCCCTGTGCCAGGAGGCTGGCCCTGGGCGGGGCTGAGGGCAGGTGGGGAGGGTTCGGCTAGCCCCAGGTCCTCCGTCCTGCCCCTCCCCTGCCAGGCTTTCTGTCTTTGGTCCAGGGCCAGGCCTGGGGCACCTGAGTGTGCATGTGCATGCGTGATGTGTGCACATGCGTGCAGGGTGGTCAGTGGGGGAGGCCCAGCTCCTCACAGGCCCACTTCCCAGGGCCACAACTGGGTGATCGCGTACAGCCGGCCTGTCTACTTCTGCATCTGCTGTCTGCTCATCTGGCTGCTGGATGCCCTAGGCTCGGCTCAGCCCTTCCCACCCGTCTCCCTCTACGGCCTCACGCTCTTCTCCGCCTCCTTTTTCTTCTGTGCCCGTGACGTGGCCACTGGTGAGACGGGGCAGGGCTGCAATGGCCCAGGGGAGCAAGGCCTCAGGGGTGGACCTCGGGCCAGCCGACAGCTGACTGGGTCCTCACTCCCCTCCTACCAGTGTTTACCTTGTGCTTCCCATTCGTCTTTCTCCTGGGCCTCCTGCCCCAAGTCAACACCTGCCTCATGTACCTGCTGGAACAGATAGACATGCACGGCTTTGGGGGCACAGGTATGGTGCCCACAGGTGGCTTGGAGGTTGGGGGCCAGGGTGGGGCCCAGGAGGGTACCGTGGATTCGAAGAGCCTGTCTGTCCCCTCCCCAGGCAAGTGGTTTAAACCCAAAAATGCCAGAAGCTCTGGAGGCCTCTCAGGGCTGGGGGAACAGAAAAGGGGCTAGAGACGGGGTCCCAGGGAGGTTAGCCTCTGGGAGTTGAGGGGCAGCGGGGCGAGGGTGAGGTGGGGTGCCAGCAGGTAGGAGTAGGGCTTTAGCTGCTGTTTCTTACCTCGCAGCCGCCACCAGCCCCCTCACTGCGGTCTTCAGCCTCTCCCGCAGCCTGCTGGCGGCTGCCCTGCTCTACGGCTTCTGCCTCGGGGCCATCAAGGTAGCGGTGACTGTGGGGTGGAGGGCACGCTGAGGCCCAGGGTGTTGTCGGGACAGGGCTGTGTATTGGGCTTAGCTCAGCAATGGCTTCTCCCATGGGGGGTGGCATCCCCTCCTCCCACCTCGCCTCCTCTCCCCTCCCCTGACCAGCATGCGTTCTCTCCCCAGACTCCTTGGCCAGAGCAGCACGTCCCAGTCCTCTTCTCGGTCTTCTGTGGCCTCCTGGTGGCACTGTCCTACCACCTGAGCCGACAGAGCAGTGACCCCACCGTGCTCTGGTGGGTGCCTGCATGTGCCAGTCTGTGCACACACGTGTGTTTGTATGTGTGTCTTTGCATGGCAAGGGTTGGGGGGGCGGTCTGGGTCTGTGCATGTGCCTGTCACCGACTGACCTTGGGGCCTGTGGGAGGAGGGCGCTCTCTCCAGACCTGGGTACCTGATTCTTCTCACCCCCCAGGTCTCTGATCCGAAGCAAGCTCTTCCCTGAGCTGGAGGAGCGGAGCTTGGAGACAGCCCGGGCCGAGCCCCCAGACCCACTGCCAGACAAGATGCGCCAGTCCGTGGTGAGGGGCCCGCGCGTGGGGCTCTAGTATTGGGGTGGGGGCTGAGAGAGGGTGTTGTCAGCCACTGGGTGGCGGGCACCCAAGCTGGTTTTCCTGGCCCTGCAGCGCGAGGTCCTGCACTCTGACCTGGTGATGTGTGTGGTGATCGCCGTGCTCACCTTTGCCATCAGCGCCAGCACCGTCTTCATTGCCCTGAAGGTTTGTGTGGCCAGGCCGCCCCCTTCCCCCTTGGTTCTTGCAGGAGCCTGCTTGACCTGAGGGCCCGGAGCAGCTGGGGCCTCACGTCCCCTCGGCCCCTGCCCAGCCTGTGCCCAGGCCCCCGGTGGCCCCTCGCCTCACTCCCCTTGGCTGAGCCTCTGGCCTCTGTCTCTTGCAGTCAGTGCTGGGGTTCGTGTTGTATGCACTGGCTGGGGCCGTGGGCTTCTTCACACATTACCTGCTGCCACAACTCCGCAAACAGCTGCCCTGGTTCTGCCTGTCGCAGCCTGTGCTGAAGCCGCTGGAGTACAGCCAGTACGAAGTGCGCGGTGAGTGCCGCCTTGGTGCTGGGACCCCTCCACCCCACCCACCTGCCCTGACTTCCTGGCTGATCACAGTGTGGTCCTCTCGGCTTAGAGGGCCAGCAGGGGGCAGCCTCCTCCTGGGCTGCCCGTCTGCTTCACTGCCCTCTGTGCCCTCTCCTGCCCTCTCCTGCCCGCTGGGCCCCGCTTGGCCCCTGCTTTGCTCTCACCCTGCCTGCTCTGCCCTATTCGCTCACCCTGCGTTCTCCGAGGAGATGGAAGAATTCCAGGGCCTTAAAGAGATCTCTTGTCCAGAATTACCAACTGGGTACCCGTGGACTAAGTCTGCCTGGTGCAAGTTTTCACTTGGGCGGTGCAACAAACTCACTGGAGCCTGTATTTAAACGTCTGGATTTGTTATACAGAGGCCCACGTGTCTTGTTTTTACAAAACGATGAAAGATTTAGCCCTGGGCCAGCCTTTCCATGTGGCTATAATTAGCTCGAGCCAAGTGGCAGTGGCCCCTTCAGAAGGGCCCTGGAGCTCAGGGTCACTGTGTACTGGGCCTCACCCACCTGCCTTGTTGTAGCAGGCATCTGGGAAGCCCTGGTCAGGCCTTAGAGCACCTTCCCGAAGCCCCTGAACGCACCCTGCCCAGGCCTCCTCACCTCTGAGTGCAGAGACCACCCGCCTCCCCCATCAGAGTCTCTAGGGACCCGGACACCACATCCTACGGTCTGCCCTCCCTCCAGGTTTCCTCCGAGGGCACACTGTCCTGGCTCGGCAGCGGGAGGGAAGGGTGGAGGGAGGTGCTGACAACAGCGCCTCGTGTTGCAGGTGCTGCCCAGGTGATGTGGTTTGAGAAGCTGTACGCCGGTCTGCAGTGTGTGGAGAAGTACCTCATCTACCCCGCCGTGGTGCTCAACGCCCTCACGGTGGATGCCCACACTGTGGTCAGCCACCCGGACAAGTTCTGCCTCTAGTGAGGACCACCCCCTCCTTCCACCTACATTCCCGTGTGATCCACGGGGAAACTGAGGCCCAGAGAGGATGAGACCTGCCTCAGTGCCCAGCAAGCTAACGGGGGACCCCAGCTCCTCACTCGCTTTCCGTTGAGCAGTTGCCTCTTGGAAAGCAGTGTGTCTCCCAGATATGTCTAAAGGGGGTGACCCTACGAGGGCAGAGACTAAGGGTCATTGGCCCAAAAGAGCAGGGCCAGCCCAGCAGAGCCCAGGCAGCACAGCCGTGTCCCCTGAGCCCCCGCCAGGCAACTAATACAATCCCTGCCCCTCACCCCTAGCTGCCGGGCGCTGCTGATGACCGTGGCTGGGCTGAAGTTGCTGCGCTCTGCCTTCTGCTGTCCACCCCAGCAGTACCTGACCCTGGCCTTCACAGTCCTGCTCTTCCACTTTGACTACCCGCGCCTCTCCCAGGGCTTTCTGCTCGACTACTTCCTCATGTCCCTGCTCTGCAGCAAGGTGAGCCGGTGGCTGCATTGCGGGCTCTGGGCTGTGCAGCAGGAGCAGAACTCTTCTGCCTCAGTGGGGGGTTGGGGGGTGACTCCCAGGGGCCTGCGCCCCTCTAGCTGCTGTCCCACATCAGCCCCGCTGTGGGCCTTCCCAGCAGCTTCTTGAGGGGCAGAGAGGAAGGTGTGGTCTAAAGAGGTTAAGTGACTTGCTTCAGGTCCCCGAGAGAATTGGTCGCCAACTAGGATTTGTGTTTCTTATTTATAAATATATGTTTTTATTGATTTTGGAGAGAAAGGGAGAGGGATAGAAAGAGAGTAACATCGACTGGCTGCCTCCTGCACACCTCACACTAGGGATTGAGCCTGCAAACTGGGCATGTGCCCTGACTGGAAATCGAACCCAAGACCTCTTGGTTCATAGGTCAGCGCTCAACCAGTGAGCCACACTGGTTGGGCACCAGCCAGGATTTGAATCTAGGTCTTTCTCCGAATCGTGATACTTGACCACCTTCCTTGTAAGCAGTAGATAGGTCTTGGCCTTGTTCTCAAGACACCGACCTCTGGGCTCTCCCCTTTGCCAGCAACAGTCCTGGAGCCCAGTAAAGAGCTGAGTTGCAGAAGCCCCTGGGACCTGGGTGTATATAAACTTCTCTCTCTAGGCCTGGCCAGTTTGCTCAGTGGATAGAGCGTTGGCTTTCAGACTGAAGGGTCCTGGGTTCGATTCCAGCCAGGGGCACATGCCTGGGTTGCGGGCTCGATTCCCAGTGGGGGGTGTGCAGGAGGCAGCTGATGAATGATTCTCTCTCATCATTGATGTTTCTATCTCTCTATTCCTCTCTGAAATCAATAAAAATATATTTTTTTAAAAAGGATTAAAACAAAACAAAAAAACTTCTCTGCCAGGCTGCAGGACACCCCAGTGGGGGTGGGGGTCACAGTGAACAAAGGACTGGTCCTGGCTCTGCCCTGGGTCCTGCACTTGTGCTGCAGCGTCGGCCAGAGCCCTTTCTCACTCGCTGGGCTTCTGACCTGGTTTTCCGGCCTGGCCCAGGGCAGTGGAGAGCCAGACTGTCTCCTCTGAGGCAGGGCCTGTGACTGTGTCTAGACTTTTGGTTCCATAGTCGAGGCCCAGCCTCATCACTGACAGAGAGATGGCCTGAGCTAGTCCTGTACCTGCCCTACGTCCTCTGAACCTCAGCTCTCCCATCTGTGAAGGGAGCCTGCAATGGGAGCTCCTCGAGTGGTTGGACGAATTAAATGCCCCCTCAGCGTGGTTGCTAATGGTAACAAGTGCTTTGAGCCACGTCCAGAGAGAAAGGGCTGGGAGTGAACTTGAGCTTGACTCTCATGTGGGCAGCCAGTGGGGTACCCCGAGGCTCCGAGTGGGCACTTGGTAGACCCCACTCTGAGTGACCTCCTGTCTTTGACGTTCTCCCCTCGGACCTCCCAGCTGTGGGGACCTGCTGTACAAGCTGCGCTTCGTGCTGACCTACATCGCGCCCTGGCAGATCACCTGGGGGCTCGGCTTTCCACGCTTTTGCCCAGCCCTTCGCCGTGCCACGTACCCGGCCTACCGCCCGCTGCCTGGGTGGGGAGTGTGCAGAGAGGACCCATGGCTTAGGATGGGGGTTGCACAGGATGGATTGGCAGGGGGTTGAAGGGGTGGTGAGGGGTGCGGGGGAGGGTCCAATGTCCTGGCCACCTCCTTGACTCGTGCCCAGACTCGGCCATGCTGTTCATTCAGGGGGGGAGGTGGGAGTCATTCTGCACTCTGATGGCCAGATGGCAGTTTGTCAGCCGTTTAGGGTTTCTCAGCCCTAACCCTGTGGCACGCCGTTTCTCATTCTAGCGCGCCGTGAGTCTCCAAGGGAAGACAGAGTCTCAGGGAGACAGCACGTGCGGGAGGACCTGGAGGAGGGGCTGAGGCAGGGAAGGTTTCCGGGTCGGGAGGAGCCAGCTGGGGCCTGCAGCGGGCCGAGTCCCGGCATAGTGGGCTTCAGGTGGTTGTCTGATGAGGGCAAAACCCAGGCCATGCCAAGGCCTCGGGCTCACCTGGGCTTCTTGGCTGTGTGGTCCTGGGTGAGTCCCCTCCTGCTCCTGAATCTCAGCCTCCTCCTAAGTAACGGTGCTGTCATGGCATCCGCCCAGGCAGGGGGTGTGGGCTCAGCGGGACGTGAGGGTGGGCCGAGGGGGATCGCCATCCGAGCCGCTTGCTCTGCGCCCACTGTGCTGTCGCTCTCTCTGAACAGCACTAAACGTGTGGATCATTCCAACACCCGCCTGGTCACACAGCTGGACCGGAACCCCGGTGTGTACTCGGCCATTCAGGGGGCTTTCAGGTGGGGTCTCCTGAGGAGGGAGCCTCGCTTACTTGTCACTTGTCTGTCTGTCCTGGGTCCCAGGCGCTGATGACAACAACCTCAACTCCATCTTCTATGAGCACTTGACACGCTCGCTGCAGCACACGCTGTGTGGGGACCTGGTGCTGGGCCGCTGGGGCAACTACGGCCCCGGCGACTGCTTCGTCCTGGCCTCCGACTACCTCAATGCCCTGGTGCACCTCATCGAGGTTGGCAATGGCCTCGTCACCTTCCAGCTGCGTGGCCTTGAGTTCCGGGGTGAGCTGCTGGGCCTGGCCTGACGCAGGGTGCTCTTTCATAGTGTGTGCAGGCTGGATGCCAGTCCAGCTCTGCCCTGGTTTTCCAGGTGACCTTGAGCAAGGCACTCTTCCTTCCTGGGTTTGCCAGTCTGAGCAGTGGGGTGGCAGGGTCTCCTTTGGCCAAGCTCTGTCCCTGCCTGGACTTTGGGGCTGATGTGACTGACCGGGCTGCGTGGTGAAGGCTTGGGCCTGGAGCTCTGAGTTCTCCCGCCAGTGCCTTCTGGCCTGCTCCCTGGCCTTGGGCTTGGCCCAGGTTGGGTGCCACACATAACCCCTGTGGGTGAACTAGCCTCTTACCCACAGGAGGACGCACACATTGGATGCCTGCTTCAGAAGAGGCCCCTAGCGGTGCACAGGGCTCTGAGCACAGCTCATGAACCTGAGCAAAGCCACTTCTCCTTGAGCTTCCGCCTGTCTCTAAACGAGGGACCAGAGCCCTGTGCCCTCCACTCCCACCCCGCTGTGGCCCTTGGAGTCCGGAGAAAGGAGCCCATTTGTTAACTTACTCACCTAGCATCCCCGTTTGGAGGGTGATTGGTGCCACACCTGCGCACTCACTGGGGAGGAGGTAGGCAGGGTGCCTGGTGGTCCTCTGAATGGGCACCTCTCCCCACAGGTACATACTGCCAGCAGCGTGAGGTGGAGGCCATCACAGAGGGAGTGGAGGAGGACGAGGGCTGCTGCTGCTGTGAGCCTGGCCACCTGCCACGGGTCCTGTCCTTCAATGCTGCCTTCGGGCAGCGCTGGCTGGCCTGGGAGGTGACGGCCAGCAAGTACGTGCTGGAGGGCTACAGCATCAGCGACAACAACGCAGCCTCCATGCTGCAGGTCTTCGACCTCCGCAAGATCCTCATCACCTACTATGTCAAGGTACAGCAGCGGGGGCTGCACAGCGGAGTCCTCACTGGCCGGGAGCACCCCGCGTGCCAGCTTCCGGATTGGTGGGAGCCCGTTTTGCCCAAGGGAAGCAGAGGCCTCCCGAGTGCGTGCAGGCTGGGCGCCAGTCTCAGCATCCTCCCTCAGAAGGCTCGCCTGGGGCAGTAGCATTGAGGGCAGGTGGGCAGCGCTTACTGTGCCAGGCCAGCCCGCCCGCATTCCCAAGGTTTTCTTTTTTGGTTCTTGGAGGCTGTGGTGGGCCCAGACTATGGAGATGCCCTCTGGGCAAAAGGTCAGTCAGGAACCAGTCTGCCTGGAGCCCAAAGTGACCCATAGCCATCCTGCCCTACTCACCATTAGGCTCCTGGTACCCCTTCCTCTTGTTAAGGGGGCAGCCCAGCCCTCTCCAAACTGTCCAACCTCCTTCCCACAGCCAGTGATATGGGGCTGCTCCATTCCAGCTGCCATGTACTGGGAGCTGATGAGGCCCCACTCAGCATGGCTTCCAAAAGCTCCTCTCCATGTGCCCAAACGCTGCTTAGACACCAGCAGTCTCCTAAGGGGTCCGGTAGTCCCTGACTTTGGGCACAGGATGGCTTTTTTCTGAGGGTAGGTCCTGTGACTGTCACTCTTCACCTGCCTGAAGAGACCTGTGCGCCGGCCCCACTGGCCTGTAGGCAGCCCCACTAACCCAGCCTGACGTTCCCAGGCTTCTGAGATCTGGACCCCATGGCATCATGAGAGTAAAGGTCCTGGGATCCCGTCGCACCTCCGCCAGCCCTGCTGTGTAAATTTAGGCAGACCTGTGGTTTGTCCGAGCCTCAGTTTCCCTCACAAATGGGGCACCTTCCGAAGCAAGCATTTGCCACAGTGCAGGACCCTCCCAGGGACGCTCTGTAAGGAGGGTGCTTGCTTTCCGCCTTCTCGAGCTCCTCCAGGGCCCAGGGGAGAGGAGCAGATTTGCCTGTGTGGCTTCCGGAAGCCGAGGTGGGACATGGATGAGCGTCCTAGGAAGCAGGCCCCGCTCAGTGTCGGGGAGAAGCCCCTTTACCCCGACACGCTCTCCTGCAGCAGTGCCCGGCCAGGGCTAAGGTCCTGCCCCCCGCACTGGCCCAGCCCTGACGCCTGCCGTCTCCTCTCAGAGCATCATCTACTATGTGAGCCGCTCGCCAAAGCTGGAGGCGTGGCTGGGCCATGAGGGCATCTCGGCAGCCCTGCGGCCTGTGCGGGCGCCCGGCTATGCTGACTCGGACCCCACCTTCTCCCTGAGCGTGGATGAGGACTATGACCTGCGCCTCTCCGGCCTCTCGCTGCCCTCCTTCTGCGCCGTGCACCTTGAGTGGATCCAGTATTGCGCCTCCCGGCGCAGCCAGGTCTGGACTGCCTTCTCCTCCCCTGGGTGGCTTCCTCTCACCCTCAGTCTCCCTTGGCCTGGGTCCCAGCCCCAACCCCAACCCAAGTTCCCTGTCCCAGGTCTGAGCTGGGCTCTGGGGATGGGGGTCCTTGTGCCACAGCCCGTGGATCAGGATTGGAACTCACCGCTGGTCACTCTGTGTTTTGGCCTCTGTGTGCTGGGCCGCCGGGCCCTGGGGACAGCCTCTCATAGCATGTCTGCCAGGTGAGTGTCCGCAGGTCCAGCGGGGCCTGTCACTCTCCCCTCCACCCCATCCATGAAGAGCTCCAGGCCAGAGGCCACCAGGAGTCACCTCTGGTCTTCCTTCGGTGTGGCTCTCTTGTGGGCAGGCACCCCATAGTCGTGACCTTGTCTGTTCCTCACCACCCTGTGAGGGACCTGGGCAGAAACTGACCTCCTTGTCCAGATGGGGAAACTGAGGCCCAGCATGAAGATTGGCCTCGGCGTAGCCCGCTGCATGTGGAGCCAGCGCTAAGAAACCTTGGCGCTCACCTCCTGGCTCCTTTTCCAGCCTGGAGCCCTTCCTCTACGGCCTGCACGCCCTGTTCAAGGGGGACTTCCGCATCACCTCCCCGAGAGACGAGTGGGTCTTTGCCGACATGGACCTGCTTCACCGCGTGGTGGCACCCGGGGTTCGCATGGCCCTCAAGCTTCACCAGGTGGGGAGAGGCGTGCCCAGGCAGAGTGGGTAGGTGGGGGTGAAGCCCCTCAGGGCAGGGCCCCTGACCCCAGCCCTCCGGACCTCCCACAGGACCACTTCACGTCCCCAGATGAGTATGAGGAGCCAGCCGCCCTGTATGATGCCATCGCAGCCAATGAGGAGCGGCTGGTCATCTCACATGAGGGCGACCCGGCCTGGCGCAGCGCCATCCTCAGCAACACGCCCTCGCTGCTGGCGCTGCGCCACGTCCTGACGACGCCTCTGACGAGTACAAGATCATCATGCTCAACCGGCGCCACCTCAGCTTCCGAGTCATCAAGGTGGGGCTAGCCCATCCCCCCGACCCGGCCCCTATCCTGCTGCAGCCCCCTGACCCTTGCATGTGGCCTCCCGCAGGTGAACCGAGAGTGTGTGCGCGGCCTGTGGGCTGGGCAGCAGCAGGAGCTGGTGTTCCTGCGCAACCGCAACCCGGAGCGTGGCAGTATCCAGAACGCCAAGCAGGCGCTCCGCAACATGATCAATTCCTCCTGCGACCAACCACTCGGCTACCCCATCTATGTGTCGCCCCTCACCACCTCGCTGGCTGGCAGCCACCCCCAGCTGCGGGCGCTGTGGGGTGGCCCCATCAGCCTGGGCGCCATTGCCCGCTGGCTTCTGCACAGCTGGGAGAGGTGAGCCCTCACCGGCACCCCAACCTGGAAGGCTGGGTTCCTGGGGCAGGAAGCTGAGGCTCAGGGAGATGAAGCCACTTCCTCCAGGGTCTCGGGGAGGAAGTGCTGGAGCCAGGATGGAGCCGAGAGCTGACCCCTTCCCAGGGCTGACTCGGCTCCACCCCACCCCACAGCTGAAGGTGGCCTTTAGCCTTAAGAGCCATTGGAAATGCCTTCCTGAAAAGATCCTGTAAAGCAGATGGCAAAATCTCTTAGAGACAGCACCCCAGGGCTCAGGAATGTTAAGAGACTTGTCCTGAACTGAGAACTTCCGTTTGTGAGGTCTCTGGCCTTTCCACCAACTTCTTCACCTCCCCGCCTCCAGGCTGCATAAGGGCTGTGGTGCCGGCTGCAATAGTGGCGGAAACGTAGACGACTCAGACTGTGGTGGAGGCGGTGGCTTGACCTCCCTCAGCAATAACCCCCCCTTGGCACACCCCACACCTGAGAACACAGCAGGTGAGCCAGCGAGGCCAGGCTGAACCAGTAGGTGAGGGGACAGCCTAGCTGAGTCTCTGCCCTCTTATCTGTCTTCCACAGGCAGTGGCGACCAACTCCTCCCACCAGGTGCTGGCTGGGGCCCGAGGCCCTCCCTTAGCAGTTCTGGTGATGGCCGCCCCCCTTCTCTGCTGCATTGGCCACCCCCTCGGCTCCCTGGACAGCCCCCCGCTTCACCTGCCCCCACTGAGGGTCCCCGGCCCTCAAGGCCCCCTGGCCCTGGTCTCTATTCTGAAGGTCCCAGTGGGAAGTGGAGCTTGGGGGGTCGAAAGGGGCTAGGGGGATCCGAGGGGGAGCCAGCCTCAGGGAGCCCCAAAGAAGGCACCCCCAAATCTCAGGTAAGGATCCAGTGGGAGGGGTGGGTTCTGGGCAGCTCAGGTCTTCTTCTACCAACCTATCTCCCCTCCCCCAGGCGCCCCTAGACCTCAGCTTCAGCCTGGATATCAGCACCGATGCCTCACCCCCCAGAGCATCCCAGGACATTCCTTGCTTGGACAGCAGTGCTCCAGAGAGTGGCACACCCACGGGGGCCCCGGGTGACTGGCCTGCCCCCTCTGAGGAGCGTGAGAGCCCAGCTGCCCAGCCCCTGCTGGACCATCAATACTGAATGCCCCACTCTTCTCTGGATCCCAGCCCAGGATTCAGTAACTTGGACCATGGCCTCTGGCCCTCTCTGCTGGACCACAGGACTGAATGGTTTTGGCTTCCGTCCACATCTGAACCCTGACCTCTGGTTGCCTTAGCCAGAGCACCAGAACTAAGTGGCCCAGAACTCTTACCTTGACCCCTGATCTCTCATCCCTAGTCCAGGGCCTGGACTCCCCGAACTGAGGCAGGCAGCCTCCCAGCCAGGCCCCAAGAGCCAAACCCATGGGCTGGTCCCGCTTCACGCCTGTGGCCAGGACTGTCGGCCTCTGGGCCTGCACTGCCTGCAGGGGCAGCCCCATGGCCCGGACCTGGGGCTGAAATGTGGGAAGGGTGGTTTCTTTTTCTTTTTTTCTTTTTTTTTTTCTTCCGTGCTTCGGAGACACCAGAATTAATAACACTATTTTTGATTTTGGTTGGTGGTTTCTGCTTCTATCTGGGAATGTTTGGGTGGAAGGTAGAGTTGCCAGGCCAGAGTGAGTGAGCATGGAGAGGAGTATAAAGGATGGGGGAGAAGTTCAGAAGACCAAGGTGGGGTTCAAGTAGGCCTGGGTCCCCTTCCTTACAAGCCTATTCCCTGTTCAAGCCTTGATCTAAAATCCCTTTTGTTCATTTCTTCTCACCTGTGTAACATTTGGAGCCTTCAGCTACCGTGCCTGGCTCCTACAGTGATCAGCCCTGATAATTGGCCTTATTTGGCCAAGACCTTCCTCTGAGCTCAATTTCTCCAGCTGTAAGGAAGATGACACCTGTCTGCGGTGTTTTAAGGACAAATGAGTGTGCGTAGAGCAGGACCAGTGCTCAGCAAGTGCTCAGACCGCAGTGGTCTCTGTTCCTCGCACCTGGTGGAGCTGGACACTGGGTATCCTGCTCTGGCCTCCCCGTTGGTCTGAGGGGCAGGTCCCCTTCTTTGTGCGGCTTAGCCTGGCGCTGGAGAACCGGCCAGCTTGCTGGGCTGGGCCGGGCCTAGCTCTGGCCAGCGCTTCCCTCCCAGCCCGCTCCCGGGCCAGCCCCGCCCCCGCTGTGGCCCCGCCCCCTGCGGGCCCCGCCCCCAGGCGGAGCCGGCGCCGGGAGCGGTAGCTGGAGAGCCGGCAGTGGGACCCCAGCGCGGGAGGCGGCCGCAGGGCGGGAGCCCCGGAGGTACCAGCGGGCGCGGGGGAGCGGAGTCACCGCGGTCGGGCTGGAGGGGAGAACGTGGACTGGCGTGGGCTCGGGTGCTGTGCGTGGGGGGGGGGCCCTCGCCGCCTTTGCTGCCCGTAGCTTCCCAGCCTCCCTTCGGGCTCCAGTCCCAAGTCGGCGTGTCTGGTCCTTGCCTCTGGCTCCCAGGTCCCCACTCTGACCTCTGCTTGACTGCCCCGCCGGGCCAGTGTGCGAGTTTGCGAACGAGTGGAGGCGGCCGCCCCTGACTTCTCTCAGTGGCACTTGCGACTGCCCCTGCAGTTGGCTGGCTGACCGCAGGGCTCCCCCTGTTCTGGGGCTCCCCTGCTCCCTGGGTGGCCTCCTCCCTAGCCTTTGCACACCGCCCCCAGTCCAGGGCCAGGCCTGGGAGGAAACATCTGTCGCACCCCCTGGCAGCAGAAATAGGGTCGTGACCTCCAGATGTGCTGGGAAGCATCCAGCGCCTTCTCCTGGGGCAGCCGGGCCTTCCGGATCTGTGGGGGCGGGGCCAGCCCCCCTTCCCCAGTGACACAGGCGGGGAGGAATGTCCCGGCCTCAATGGACCCTGTGTGAAGCTGCTGGGTGGGGGGCAGAGCCCAAGAACACCCCCCAAGGCACGGCCAGAGCCTGGCACTGGGCCAGAGCAAGAGCAGCCCATGAGCTGGTCCACACGGAGCTCCGCGCACACCGCAGGGCTCGCACAGACCCCTCCCTCGGTCCCCTCACTCACCACACAACACAGTCCAGGCCCAAGAGCTTGGCTCGTGGAGCAGGGCCTGCATCTGCCGCCACACACCTAACACATGGCCAGCGTTACTTCCTTCACCCTCCAGGCTCCCCAGAGTGTTGAGAAGGGATGGGATTGGTTAACCCCATTTTAGGGATTAGAGAACAGAGGCTCAGGGCCGGCATCCGAGCTTGTCCTGGGAGAAACAAGGAGGGAGACACAGCCTTGGAGACCTCCCCTTGCTTGGTTCTGGGACTTGAGCTGAGGGGTGCACAGAGCCTCTGCCCCAACCCTCCCCTGGCCCAGTCCCACACAATGTTATTAGATGATGTATACAGACCCTTGCCTGCACCCCTAGTGGCCAACTCCATCCTGGGTTCACTGGGGGTGCTCCCCCTTATGTTCTCACACCACACTTTGCACCTGCCCCTGCCCCCAACACATTTCCGCACCTAGCAGGTCCCTGGGGCCTGGGGTGCCTCAGTCTTACATCCTGTGAGATCTTGAGCCTCGGCACAACCCCCCACCTGCCCCACACTATACACACAGGGACAGGAGTGGGCGGGTGCAGCACTGTTGAGGCCCTGGAAGTGGACAGACCCAGGCTCACATCCCAGCTCTGACATGAAATTGCTTCAGGCAAGAGCATCCCCTTATCTGGACTTCAGTGGGACTGTCTGACACATGGGCTCAGACCTCCCTGTGAGCATCAGTGAGGCCAGATAGGCAGAGATCCCCAAGGGTCTCAGTTCCAGAAAAGGGGCCCAGTCATTGTGACTCACTCCCCGGCCCCAGGCATGGCCACAGCAGCCAGCAAGAGGTTGAGCCCGGGCCTGTCCTTCAGGCCAGTGTGACTTGGGTCCCATGACTGAGCTGGTGTGACCCCACCACCTTCCTCAGGATGTGGGGCTGGGCAGGGGGCTGGGCCCAGAGTTGGGGCCACTTCCTGTGCCAAAGGAAGTCCTCTTGTCGTTCCTGCTGCCCTGGCAGTGCCCCTGGGGACCCCTGTATCCTTGAGGTTTTGAGGCCGTGAGGGCTAGGGCATTGAGACCTGGCGTCTGGGTGCTCACCTCCTCGGGGATCCCAGAGGAAGTGGGAAGGGCAGGGAGGAAAGTCTCTGGGGACAGGACGTCCTCCCTTTGTCAAGTGGGCAGGATCCAGACACCAGTGGCCCCATGGGTTTCCCGTCCCAGCCGAGACAAATCATCTGTCCAGTTGGGCCAGGCCTTGGTGGGGACCTCGGTCTGGGCCCGGGCCAAAGCCGAGGTGTGTGAGTGGGAACTGGGGCGCACGGGCAGCCTCCGGGCTGCCCAGGCTCCAGATCCTCAGGGCCGAGGCCTGACAGCCTCGCCCTGGCCCTGCCCAGCACCAAGCTGGAGGAGGGGGCTGGAAACCTTAGCCCAAGGCAGAGGAAGTGGCCAGGAAAGCGGAAGCGGCTTTGATGGTCTCAGAGGGGGCCGGAAGCCAGCCCGTGGTGGAGGACCAGGCTGGAAACCTGGGTTCCTGTTTTCTCCCCAGGCCCCTCTGAGCAGCCCCCTCCTCCCTCAGGGCAGGAACCGGCCTGCCGGCTGGGAACCCAGCATCCAGCATCGCCGCGCCCGCCAATGCGGCCGGGCCCCGGGAGAGCCAGGCCCGCTGCATGCCCATGTGGGCCGGCGGCGTGGGGAGCCCTCGGCGGGGCACGGCCCCTGCACCCACCGATGACCTCTTCGCCCGGAAGCTGCGCCAGCCAGCCCGGCCCCCGCTGACACCACACACCTTCGAGCCCAGGCCGGCCCGGGGCCCCCTCCTGCGCAGCGGCAGTGACGCGGGCGAGGCCCGGCCCCCCACGCCAGCCAGCCCGCGGGCCCGTGCCCACAGCCACGAGGAGGCCAGCCGCCCTGCCGCGGCCCCCACTCGACTCTTCACTGACCCGCTGGCCCTGCTGGGGCTGCCGGCCGAGGAGCCAGAGCCCTCCTTCCCACCAGTGCCTGAGCCCCGCTGGTTCGCCCACTATGACGTGCAGAGCCTGCTCTTTGACTGGGCTCCGAGGCCCCGGGGGGCGGGGGGCCACCCTGAGCCCGGCTCTGGGACCCTGGCCTCGGCCGAGGACCGGACTGCCAGCTCAGACCTGCTGCTTGAGGCACCTGGCTTTGTGAGTGAGCTCGGGGGTGAGGGTGAACTGGGCCTGGGCGGACCGGTGTCCCCGCCCGTGCCTCCCACGCTGCCCAACGCGGCCGTGTCGGTCCTGGAGGAGCCACAGAACCGAACCTCAGCCTACAGCCTGGAGCACGCAGACCTGGGCGCCGGCTACTACCGCAAGTACTTTTACAACAAAGGTGAGGGCAGGCCCCGGGCAGGGCGGCGGTCCCTGCCACTGCGGTGCACACAGTAAGACTCGTGAGCTGGCCTTTCCCTGTCAAGTCCCTGGCCAGACAAGGGTTAGGCTCGGCCTCTGGGCCAGGGCTGCTCTGCTGGGCCCAGCGTTAACCCCCTCCCGACGCCAACCCCCGCCTCCACCCATAGCCAGGCACGCCCCTCTGCTTCCATCTGGTTCTGCCTCAGACTCCTCTGGGCTGGGGAGAGATTTCCTATCTACGTCTCGGTGAGGTGAACACTGAGGCCTGAAAACCCCGCAAACCAGAACCTGATTCTTGTCTGTGTCCAGAAGGGAGGGTCCCACACATCCTGGAGAATGTGAGTGTGGTGGACAGGGTCATGTCAGGGTCTAGGCGAGGAGAAGGCAGGCATTGGCCCCCTGGATCCGAGACAAGGTGTGATAGGTCGGGATGCAGAGGGGAGGGGCTTAGGGCCTGGGGTCTAAGGGCAGGTGCTGGGCTTGGTAGAATGTGGGTGGGCTTTGGAGGGGTGGGCCTTAGTCTAGGGCAACGGTTCTCAACCTGTGGGTCGCGAACAATGAAAATACATCCTGCATATCAGATATTTACATGACGATTCATAACAGTAGCAAAATTACAGTTATGAAGTAGCAACGAAAATAATTTTATGGTTGGTGGTCACCACAACATGAGGAACTGTATGAAAGGGTCGCGGCATGAGGAAGGTTGAGAACCACTGGTAGGGTCTGCACTAGGTGATGCGTTGGGGCCTAAGAGAGGGATTTGGTGATGGGTGTGGTCCAGCGAGGGCGGACTGCTGGGCGGGCGGCAGGACTAGTCACCCACTGTCTGGGGCCCCCTCAGAACACCAGAACTTCTTCGGACTGGATGAGGTGCTCGGTCCGGTGGCAGTGAGCCTGCGGCGGGAGGAGAAGGAGGGCAGCGGAGGGGGCACTCTGCACAGCTACCGTATCATCGTGCGGACCACGCAGGTGGGCCAGGGTCATGGGGTCGGACCGCGGATGTCATCCTCAACGACCCGTATGTATCCTGAGCGCCCCTCCATCTCCGCAGCTCCGGACCCTCCGTGGCACCATCTCGGAGGAGGTGCTGCCTCCAGGGCCCCCGAGGGGCCTGTCCCCGAGGAAGCTTCTGGAGCATGTGGCGCCCAGGCTGAGCCCCACCTGCCTGCGCCTGGGCTCGGCCTCGCCG